GGCCATCGTATATTAGAAAATCGACATTACCATTTTCGGTATCAAAATCATCGAATCCTAATTCAATTGTACATGTTGGCTGGACAGTAATGTACCATGTACATAATTTAATACCACTATAAAATTCTGGATAATTTGGTGTACTTATAGTACCCTGATCATCATTGTAATGTTTATTTTGACAATCTAAATTACAAATTTAATAAAAATATTATTATTAATTATTATTATTAATATTTAGTATTATTATTAATTATTATTATTATTAATTATTATTATTATTATTTAGTATTATTATTATTAATTATTATTATTATTATTATTATTATTATTATTATTATTATTATTATTATTATTATTATAATAAATTTAATTGAATAATATAACCTATTAAAATAATTTAATTTTAAAATAAAATATTTAGCATTTATTTAGTAAGTTTATAAATTATTATTATTATTATTTTTAAATGATACTATAATAATAAATGATTAATTATTTTTTTTTTAAAAAAGTTAAAAATAATATACCACCTTGTGATTTGATAATATTGAATTGTGTTGCAATAATAATAATACAAAATAATTTTAGTTTATACATATTTTAAAAAAAATAAATGTAATAATTTTAGTTAAACATTACACAACTATTGTGTTAAAAAAACAAAATATTTTAGTTAATTTATAAATAATATTAATTTGTTTTTAATATTTCTATTTAAAACTGACATTTGAGATGAGATATAATATGATAACAAAAATTTTATTTTACAATTGTATAGAATATATAATATTGAAAACTTATTATTTAATATCTCTTTTAACAAATATTATAAATATTTATATTTCCCAAACATTTTCAAATAACTAAAGTACAGTACAGTATAGTATCTAATAATTATATTAAATATTGATTAATAATTTTATCAAATTTAAAAAGCATAATAATATTCTTATAGATAAGTTTGGAAAACAAGTTATTATTTTTAAACTTTATAATAATTGTCTACATTTTAGTATTTTTTGTGTAATAAAATTATTTTACAACAATAATTATTTAATTTATAATTAAATATATATAAAGTTTTGAAAAGTCAATTATACAATACTGTACTGTATATTCATATGATATGTTTATTTAAAAAAATACAAACAACAAAAATAAAAATAATAAAAAACTAAAATTTAAAAAAAAATAAATAAATAATACAATTAACATAACTAGTTTACTAGTTAATTTTTAAAAATAATTATTTAGCAATAAGTTTAAAAAAACTAACTATTATGATAAAAAATATTTTTACATTTTAACTATAAAAAAACCAAAAACAAAAAACAAATTGTACAATGTACAAAATTTGTAAAAAGCATAAAAACTAGACGTAATTTATGGACATTTTTTAAGTCACGTTTTTTAATTACATACTTAAACATTATATGTGTTTTTACTGTACATTACTATACATTGCAGTCACTCATACATACATACAATACATATATATATATATATAGTGTTTATATTACAGTATTTATTATTTACATTACATTACAAAATCATATTTCATAAACACATTAATAATACATAACAACAACAATACAAACATAACTACCGATAGACTAACCAATCAATTGATTGATTGGATTACCGATTGTGATTCAGTGGCCGACCACTCATTAGACACACATCATTGCTGGCCATCGACTATCGCCACCACTAACTCAGCACATATACAGAGAGAGAGAGAGAGAGAGAGACAATGGCCGCCACTAATTGCTCGTCGCCAGCAATGTCTACCGTTTCTACCGATCATTCGCTGGCCAACAACAACAACACTAACCCGACTGGCGATCAACTATTCGGCGAAATACGTGACCAGAATCGGGCACTCGAACGACAAGTATTTGCCCAGAAATGTTTGATTCAAGTACTGGATAACTATCGCAAATATGCGGCCCAACTGAGGACACAGTGTCGCTGCCGACACGCCGTACCAGTGTTTGCCTATTTAGACGAATTGGACAACAAATATCATAGACTGATGGCCGAAATAGGTCCCGATACTGGCCATCAGTCTACACATCAGTCAACACTGTCGACTACGGCCGCTGCAGCCGTGAGTGGCGTTAAACGAGGCGGTGGTGGCGGCGGCGGTGGAAAACCGGGAAAGCGTGGACGCGGACGACCCGCAAGCTATACGATGCGTGTGGCCACTGGCCAGAGTCGATTGGATTCAAACAAGTTTGACACAAAAGCAAATAACGCTATGACTGGTATGATGTCCGGTATGGATGGCGATCATCGTATGGACGGCGGCGGCGGTATTGTCGGTTCAAGTCTCGATAATCTAAACAACTGTTTGGACGCCAAGTTTACCGGCGCCTTCATTAGCGATCTCATGCGCCAATCGGTTCACTACGGCGACGGCAATGTCATTACGACTGTGGCCAACAATGTTGCCGCCGCAGCCGCTGCTGTCAACTCAGTGGTCTCGAACAACAACAATAATAATAATAATAATAACAACAACAGTAGTACCGATCAGCAGCTGATTATGGCTGCGGCCACTGCCGGCGGCAATTACAAGTGCTCGGTTTGTGGCCAACTGTTTCCTACGTCGGCCGATATGGACATTCACATGATATGTGCCCATCACTATGTCTTCTGCGGCTATTGTCAACAGTTTTTCTCAGCCAAACAAGATTTGGACGCACACTTGGAGGCCAAACACAGCATCGAATTGGTTGTCGGCCAGAATCAGATGATCTTCCGCTGTCACGAATGTGGCCATTCGTTTCCCACTGTTGTTCACTTACAGTATCACTTGGCCAGTGGTCATCATCATCACATTCCTCCGCATCAACAACACCCGAACCTGACGGCAGCGGCTGCCAATCTGGCGGCTGCGTCGGTCAATCCGAACAATATCATTGCCAATCATTTTAACGACTCGCAATCGATGAACCGTTTTACCGATTGTCGACCTCAGCCAGCATTTCCTACACAACCGCCACCTCCGCACTATGGCCAGCGACTGGTTAATGGCCAGCACGAGTGCCGTACGTGTTCGAAACGTTTCGCCAACGACGACCAACTGGCCCGACACGTACGCAACGGCCATCAGCTGTGGCAGTGTTCAAAGTGTCCGCAAGTTTTCGACGACATTCACACAATGACCAGCCATCAGAGGACCCATCATCGACAGCATCAGTCGTCCACCTCCACGGGTGGCGGCGGTAGTGATGGTCATCATCAGCAGCACCGGTCATCGGCCGGCAGTGGCAAACAATCGCAGGGCTATCTGTGTTCGTTCAGCGACTGTCGCCAACAGTTCAATCAACTACACGAATATCATCAGCATCTCAATGATGTCCATTTGAAATACCAGTGCCCACTGTGCTCGAAACGGTACGCAACCAGTGAACAATTGACCAAACATGAGAACAGTGTCCATCAGGTTAACCAGCAGATCGACAGCTACCGGTGCCAGTGGTGTACAAATGCCAAATATAAGACCCAACAGGGACTCAAATTGCATATGAAAGCACATCATAAAGATATTTTGTTGGCCACTTCGGCAGCCGGTAATGGTAACTATGGATAGCTAATGGTAGCGGCGGTTACTGCAGTATAATAACTAAATAATAGCTAAATAACAACATACCGGTGCGCGCGTGTGTGTGTATGTGACGTGTATATACACAGTGTATATATATATAATTTATATATTAATATATATATATATGTAAATTATATTATTATTATTAATAATTAATTAAATAAAATGTGATTATACAGTGTTTTTTATGTAAATTGATTTCGACATTCATATATGCATTATATATATTAGACAGTAATACCTAAACATGTGTTCACTTATATAAAATAATTGTGAGATTTTTTTTAAAATAATTATTATATAGAAATTATTATTAAATAATTATATATATTTTTGTTATTCAGTATATAATAATTGTATTGATTTTTTAAAATTAATTATTATTATTTGTGTTGATATTTATAGTACTTAAATAACTTTGGATTTATTTTGTTGTTGTTGTTGTTATTGTTGAATACAATAGGAATAATGTCGAAAAAAAACATTAAGTAAATTATTTATTAATTATTTTTTTTTTGATTTACTAATTATTTTGTTTCACACATACATACATACAATTATAATTACAATCAATCAATCATTTTTAATCATATTATGTAAAATATAAGTACAATACATCATATATAACATAAATCCATAGACCATATAAATTATCATTTTAATTATTGTTTAAATAAATTGTTTAATCATTTATATATATCATTAAAAAATAATTTCTTATATACACAATCTGTACTTAAAATTTTAAAAGAAAAACATTTCATAAAAATAATAATAATAAAATGAAACTAGCTCATTTAATAATAATCTAAATAATTTGTTAATTTAATTATTTAATAGTTTAATAGAGAGAGAGAGAGAGAGAGAGAGAGAAATAGTTTATATTTTACCAAAAATTTGATTCAAAAATTTATTTTAATTTTTGTTTTAGTGTGTATGTGTGTGTGTGTCTAACTAAAACTTATCAGGGTCATCGTAACTCAACAGTGTTATCAATCATACATATATATATATATATTATCATATAATATAATCATATCATATATTATCATATAATATAATCATATCATATATTATCATATAATATAATCATATCATATATTATCATATAATATAATCATATCATATATTATCATACATATACAGTTACCAGACATACTGGATATGAAATTAATTAATATATTATAAATTATTAATTTAAAAAAAAAAACATTTATATTTAAGAAGTTGTTTTTAATGTTTTTTTTGACAAAAAAAATTAAACATTTTTAGTCTTAAAAAAATATTTAATAATTATAATAATTTTTATTAATTTCTCTAAAATAATTCTATAGTAAACAACAATTAATTATAATAATTAATTAAGTAATTAATTAATTAAAAAATGGATCTAGTACCAGAAACTTATCAAACATTCAATCATCTACCTAGACAATTTGCCGATAGTACTATGCGTACATTAGCAGCTAAAAATAGGTAATTAAATAACAGTAATTTTTTATAAAAATTAATTAAATGAATTAAAATATTTATTAATTGTCACTTTTATTTTATAACTAATAATTATTATTTTTTTATTCAACAAAAAAAACTAATATCTATTTTATAAATTTAAAAAAAATAATTATTATTTTTGATAATAAATAAAAATAAATGATTTATTTTTGTTACTATTATTATTAGATTGTATAATCTGGTCATCGATATCGGTCCGGGCGATGGCGGCATTACCCGCAAACTGGCCAAACTATTGAGACATCGGCGTTTTGTGGCCATCGATGGCGATCCGAAAATGATTGACTATTGTCGCCGCCAGGACAGCGACTTGTTGTCGCCGCCGTCGGGCGTCGAGTATGTACTACAAGATCTGAGTCTACCGTGGAATCAGATGTCCGAATCGGTCGGCCAGTTGGCCGGTCAGGCAGATCTGATATTCTCGAATTTTGTACTACACTTTATACCCGATAAACACCAATTGTTGGACATACTGTCTCGGCTGTTGGCCACCGATGGCGGCGGATCATTGCACGCAAACTTGTTAATAGTGGCCGATCTGACCGACCGAATAACAACGGCTGTACCACTACTAGATGGTACCAAACATCTGTATCTATCGGCTGACAAACAGTTGTCTATCTGGCGACAGGCACTCGAGGCTAATGGCCTTACGATAGATGAGTTTCGGGTGACTGACTCCGAGTGGCGTTTGACCCGAAAAGAGATGATCGGTTTAGTAGTATATTATTATTTTCTAATTATTATTATTATTATTATTACTCGCTTTTAATACCCGTCCCCCCGTCTATTGTCCCGTTTATAGCGTTCATACCGGTGCTGATCCAACACTATAACACTATGATTACCGAACCGAAACAGTTTCTATCACTGAGAGAACAGTTGGCTAATCCAGTGTTTGATGCCTATACTAATCCCACCGGTGGTCATAATAATCCCGATGCGTGGACCAAATTTCTAGCCGACAATACCGTTGCCGATGTTGTACTGCATATGAAAATATTGTCGATTATTGCACACAAATAATTTTGATGCAAATAATAATAATGAAAATAGTTTTTTTTATTTATAATAATAATTTTTTATTTGTTTACTAAAATAAAAGTTTTTTTTATTAGTTTTTTTTACAAAAAAATTATTTATAAATAATTACAATTTATAATACAATGAGAGAGAGAGAGAGATATATATATATTTGGTTAAAACTATACAATTGTTTTAAAAAACTGTGTTAAAAAAAATATTAATAAAATATATTGTTATAAATATTAATTATATATAAATTATTATTAGTATTTGAAAAACAGTTCAAATAATTTTTAAAAAAAATATAATTTAGCAATTAAATGTTTTTTTAAATTAATTAATATAATAACATAAAAAACATTATTATTTATTATACACATATTATTATTTAAAAAACAAATATCTAATAAATTTCAAAGTTTAGTAAAAAGTTTTGATTCAAAAAATTGCTTAAAATTTCCTATAATTATAATAATAATATATAATAGGAAATACCAAACCATAGACTAATTGTGCCGCCGATAGCATACATAATATCTTCAAACTCTATAACATAGTGTTCGGTAATGACAGGCGTGAATACCGTTTGCGGGACTAGTGTTACACTAGTTAACTGTTTATTATTATTATTATTATTATTATTATTATTATTATTATTATTATTATTATTATTATTATTATTGTTGCTATCATTGTTGTTTAGCTCATACCTAACATACCTAACATCAAACTCCTGATAATTGCACGGTTTGATTGCTCGGGTTAATAGTCGACAAATTTTATAAATTTTATCTAAATCTTTATCATCTATTACATCATTCATTGGACACCATTTACGATAAAACATATGGCTATCATTCATGTCGGTTATTATCGGAAAATTATAGCCAATTAGTTCAATAGTATGGTTGCCATCTTTAAGATTAAAAAAATTATTATTATTATTATTAACCTGGCTACTATATCTAAACATTGGTATACATTGAAATTCTCGGAAAATTTCGACAATCGGACATTGATCGCCAAATTGATGATAAGGTGATTTTAATTTAGCAAATTGATCATGGTAATTTAATTCTAAATAAAAATTGTCATTGAATGTACAAAAATGCTCGGGCATAGATAATGTTTGCTGGCAACGATAGCCAGGTCGACTCAAACGTCTATAGGTACGTACACTGTAGCCAACGTATAGATTTGTGTGTTGTCCGGGAATTTCTATACGTATTATTTTATCAGGTGATGTGCTAGGTGCAATAACTAATTGGGCATTATTGTATTGATTAGTGTAGTAATCTATATTTTTATCTAGATAATTATTATTATTATTATTATTAAACAATTGGCTAGTGTTGAATACTAGTAAAATTGATTTCAATCGACCATGTTGATTTAGTTTATCGCTTATACGTTGGCGATAGTCGCTAGTAATTGTATGAAATATTTCCCACGTTATTACATAATTGTTGACAAATTTTATGAATAAATTTTCATCAAATTTATTTGGACACTCTAGTCGATTACTATTATTATTAGTAGTATTATTATTATCGCCAAATAATAAACTACACTGGACAGTTATATTATTTAGCCAGCTAATTATCAAATCAATATTGCCATGTCCAAATAGTAATTGTTCTAATTTTAAATGAACTTTATAGTAAACATCCTCTAATTCCCTTGGTATTTTTTCTGGTATTTTACTTAAAATATGACCAGGGTCACCAATTGAAAATTGTATACGTACATTTGGCAATATAATTGACTTGTTGTTACCGATAGCTAAACTGTATTTTGTAATGTTAGTTGTACAATAATAATTTTGATAGATCAAATTATATAATTGACCAATCATCATTATGAAACTTGCAATAAATATCAATAGTTTTATAGACACCAAACAATATTTGATAATTTTCAATAAATATTGTTTAATATGTTTTCTAACAACTATTTCAGTTATTATTGAATAAATTAATTTTAATCTATTCATCAATACTAGTGTTGTATATTCAGTGTTGTTAACGACACTGATTCCTAACCACAGTGTAATCAATGCCAACAATGTTGACAAATATGTCGGTAAATCAATTTTAGCCAACAATACGTACAATGTTTTCCTAAAAAATTTACTATTTATAAAATATTGATATGAATATTGTCGTTGTTGTTGATGATGATGATTATGCACCAAATAAGTTGATTGAACATGGTCAAAACTAGTATAGATAAACTGATCCTGATCACGGCAATCACGTTTACATAGTCTATGCAATCGATTTAAATCAGGTTTTATTAGCTGACAATTATTATTATTATTAAATGTGTTTTCAATTAATTTCTCTATAGACTCGTATGCCGTCCAATACGTACTACTTGAATGACCGCACGCGCGGCGTATCTCATAGAGCATACACTCGGCACGTGATTTTGGCGCACGTGATGACCGATTAATACCAATATATTTATTTAAACTATAATCCAGACAATCAGTGGGATAGGGCGCTGACAACAAGTGTACGTCTACTAGGTTTAGGTTTACTAAATATTTATCAGGCTTACTATATGTCGGATGATCGATAAATGTGCTAAACTGACCATGATCATATTGACCATGTATGGCCAATTGTAGGCTGTGGACATTTTTAATGGCCAGGGCTAATTGAAAATTGGATTGAAATTTTACCGCTGGCCACCACCGATTACCGTAAAATAGTGTCACACAATAGCGGCGGCCGCTATTGTTGTTGTTTGATGGTAGGACCCTATAGTAGGGTTGGGCAATACTATCACAACTGTATGTATTATTAGTATTATTATTAACATCCATAGTATCATCATTACTGTTATCATCCCATAAGTTATCAATAGTTTTATTGATACTTATCATACAATAAACGGTATTATTATTGTTATTATTTGATGATTGATTATACATTAAATAGTGATCCAAACCTATAGCCGCCGGTATGGATATGTTAGGCACCCGATGTCTATAGCATAGGGTAACTGCAGGTAAGTGATGGTCAACTACTGCGGTGTTGACCTCAGTGACCCTTATTTCATAGTTTAAATAGTAGTAAGTTTGTTGGCATAGTTGATAGACTAGTATTAAATAATATAATATCCATTTTGATGTTAAAATATTATTATTATTATTATTATTATTAGCCATATTTTAATTATTGGACTGTAATTTTAATTGTTATAATTAATAAACTTTATTGAAATACTCTCATTAAATAATTTTTCAAAAAAATTTATTAGCGCACAGTTTGCTAGTATGAATTTATTAATATATATTAGTTTTTTAACTACAATTTAAATATATAATTATTATTACGTATAACTTAAAACAAATTTAAATATTAATACTGTATTAATTGTTGATATGACTTTAGTATTTTTTAAACAAAAAAAAATAATAACAGATCAAATATAAAATTTAAAAAAACTGTATTAATAATTACATGTACACTAAAAAATCAATTTTATGTAAATAATGTAAATGCCATTAATATAGTAGAGAATATTAATTATTCAATTAATATTAATAGGATTTTTGTTAATAATATTATTTTTTGTGTGTTATATATCTTGCATTTTTTAGTACCATAGATACTGTATATATTATATACAGGTATATATATATATACTTTTGTAACACAATTATTATTTTTTGTTATTATTTTATAATTTTTTTTTTGTATAATAGCTGTCATATATCTCTAAGACAACTTTAAGGCACTGTTTCTATACACTGTATGTATTGTATATATCAATTGATTTTTTTTATTGATCTATTGTAATATATTTTTTGTATAATAAAGCTAAAATTATTTTATATATACATAAAATATTATTACTAGTATTATTATTAATGTTATTGATTAATAATATTATATTCAAATCAAATTTAAGTCAAATTCTCTCTATTTATTATTTTTTTAAAATTTATTATTAACAATAATTTTTATAAAAAAAATTTTTTTTAATAAATCAAGTTGCTGATTTACTAAAATTTGTTCAATCAACAACAACAAAAATTTATCTAGCTAATATATTTTAATAATAATTATAATAGATGCACTTGAAAAATAAAAATTTATTTATTGAACTTTGTTTTGTAAACATACAATAAGTTTATTATAATAATATCTATATGTTGTTTTCAATTTAATAAAATATATTATTTTTAAATAATAATAATAAATTTATGTTTTGATATTTAAAAAAATTTTTTTTTGTATATAATATAGTAACTCAATATCCAACTAATGAAAACTACAGTAAAATAATTTATAAGTTTAATAAATAATAAATGAAATACTTTTTATTTATTTTTTTGATGATAAATTTAAAAATACATTGATCGTTGAACTATATAAACTGTATATAAAAAAATTGTTATAATTGATAATAACTGTAATAATGATAATAATAATCATTAATTTTTTTTTGGTGAAATTATTTACCATTTTAAAATAAACTTTTTTATTTATCACTTATCTAAACTAATATTGACGCCAAAACATTTTTTAATCAAATAATTAAAACCTATTTAAATATAATAAAAAAAATTTAAGTAAAATTTGTGTAAAACTAGGATTTATGCAAATAAAAAAATTACATTGACACATTTATTTTCGGACACATGATTGTAATATTATTAAATAATTTTTTTTTAAATTTTTTTATTTAGTTTAAACAATCAAAAACAATTTGCTCTATAATTATAATTATTAATTGAATATTATATAGATATTGTATATTGTATTATATAAATAAATTTATTATTAAGCAAATTAATACAAACACACACAAAAAAAATTATCATAATTTTTGTTATCAATAAATAAACAGTAAATTCTAGGGAAATGTAGAAAAAAAAAATATTTATATATATATATATATATTTATTTTATCAATCAATATCTTCAAAATAAAATCATATATAATTGTTTATATATACAGTATATAAGTTTAATATTAATAGTTTATAAAAATTAATGTAATTTTTAATATATATTTATATAAACAACACTTATATTGTCTGTATTTAATTTTTTTTTAAAAATCATTTAAAACTATGATATCATTAAAAGACTGATATTAACTTTTTTTTCGCAGTGTTTATATTATAAAAATTATTATTATAAATAAAAAAGTAATTATTATTATTTTTATTATATGATATCATATTACATATAATACATGTAATGTAAAATTTATTACAAAAACTATTTGATGTAATTTAATTAATAAAAATTTTGTGCTAAAAATATATTGCAATATTATAACTATTTTGTAACAAAAATCAAAACAATTAATAATTTTATTTAGTTTTTAAAAAAAATTTTTTATAAAAAAAAATATGTTTCGCAAACTTTTAATTGCAAACAGTGTCATAACTTTTAGTTTATTATTATTATTATTATTAAAACCATTGATGATCTATGCTATTAGTGATTCACAAAGTAATTATTGAATTTTTTTTTATAAAAATAATAATTTTTAATTTTTGTTTATATTAAATATATCATATAATTATTACAATTAATTTAATTAATAAAAAATGTTATTATTTGTTGCATATTATCTTTATAAAAAAATACTATGAATAATAATTAATTTTTGTTTGTAAAAAATTATTATATATCTAGAATGTACATACAATCTAACCGATGACCATGGTACTATATTGAGTCCAAATTATCCGCAAAAATATCCGTCCCATACACTATGCCAATGGTACATAACTGTCCCCCGTGGACAGTACGCTCTGGTCAAGTTTCGTACGTTCAATACGGAAGCCCTGCACGACTACCTAACTGTATACGATGGCCACTGGCCCCGACCCGATCGATTGTTGGCCAACTATAGCGGTCTGGGCGAAGATTATGATTTTATTGATGGTCCACCGCGTAATAATTTATTAAAAATAAATTCAATAATCGGTACTGGCAACAAACTATTAGTTAAATTTCAATCGGATTATGTATTAGATAGTTATGGATTCAATATAACCTATGAAACAATTAACCAAGGTAATTAATTAATTAATTAATTAATATTCAATAATTATGATAAATATAATAATAATAATAATAATAATTAGTTTTTAGTTTAATGTATTGCAAAAAGTGATTTTGTGTGTGTGTGTGTTGTTTATTATGTAATTAAAATTTAAATTAATTTTTTAATTCAGTAAAATACAGTATAATCTACCTAGTTTAGTTACAGTGCAGCAAAAATTAAACATTAGTTTACCATGCTAATAATAAAAACAAATATATATATATGTAAAATAAATGATGGGTTGCAGTCGTTTTATAAGTTTTTTAAAAGTTATTTATTTAATAAAACAAATTAAAGTATAAATTTTACACAAGTTTTATAAAAAGTAAGTTTAAAGTATTTATGTGTTGATCCAGTGATGAGTTGACTTGAGTTGTCTTATTGAAGGGCACACACTATCTTATTTAATCTCAATTTGCAACAATATTATTGCTGGATGTCTTGGGATCCATTTGAGGTGATGTGGAGTTGGCTCCAGATGTGTGGCACATATGTGATGTGTTATGTTTGGCTCTCAGATACTGAATGGCGGGTAAAGTGGAACACCAGCTTATATATGAACTAATGGTAATAAATGTTTTAATTGTGTTTAAGCGGTGTTCCCGGTCAAGGATTTTAATATAACTTTGTATGTGTATTAATGTTTGTATATATAATTGGCAACTAAAGTCAAATCTATGAGTTGACAATAGTTCAAAAGTTATTATCTAAAATGTTTTTAATTAACACATAGTGTTGAATATAAGGGAAAGTGGTTCCCATGCTATGCATAGAGAGTATTGTCGGTGTATAACAAATACAGTAGATATTATGTGTATGTATGTGTGTACTTACATGTTTAACATAAAGTTAAAGTAAGTGCTATAAAATATTAAATGTAATAAAAGGGTTGAATATTAATTGAAATAGATATTGAGTTTGTATTAGTTTTATTGTTTGCAAAATAAATGTATATCTAAATATAAAATATCAAATATATACTAAAACGAAATTATAATAAAATAAATGCATAAAATAAAAATATATTTTACATATATATTAGTTAACAAACTGTAATAAATTAATATAGATAGTAAATGTTAGTAGTTTATTTATTTATTATTTTTATAATAATGAAATCGGTTAAGAGAATTTTATTTGTAAATTATTTTCTAACCATCTTATTATTTATTTATTTTTTAAAAAAATATAATTAAATTAAATACCTCTCAATAGTTTTTATTATAGTTACCAAAAAAAATGTCAAATATTATTGAAATAGTTATTATATTTATTTTTTTAAACTATAATATTTGAAAAAAATAATAATATGAATTCAAAAACATTTTAATTATATATATAATTTTTTTTTGTAATTAATGTTTTGTAATTATATATATATTTGTGTAATATTTTACAGTTTAATACTTATATTTTTTTATAAAAAAAAACATTTAAATAGTTATTTATAGTTATAATAAAATAGCGTTTACTGGTTGTGTTCGGTGGCATACTCTAAGTCATTGTAATTAATAGCATCGCCGCTAACATCACCGCCGCCGCCACTGCCGCTGTTTAAGACTCCTCTCATTTATTAAATAATTGTTTTTTAATAATCAATAAATAGGATGTGGATTAACAATGGATGAGATTAGTGGTGTATTACATACTCCTGGTTATCCCGATCACTATCCGTTTGCATTGAAATGTAATTGGAATATTACGGTTCAGCCGGGTAAATGTATCATGATCGAATTTACCGATTTCGATACGGAAATCAACTATGATCATTTGGTTATACACGACGGTTTCGATTGGAACAGTAGCTATATTACCTATACGGGTAATAAAGTACCGCCCACTGTAATATTTGTGACCAATCATATACAGCTAAAATTTTCAAGCGATCACAATAAACCGGGTCGTGGATTTCGATTGACTTATCAGGCTATTGATCTAAGTACTAGTTAGTACATTTTATTGTTTTTTTTAATTTTTAATTTAACTATTTTTTAACCAACTATTTTTTTTAACTATTTTTAACTATTTTTTAACTATTTTTTAACTATTTTTAACTATTTTTAACTATTTTTAACTATTTTTTTCTAAAAAAGTGTTCGAAAATGAAATATCTGAGGCATTACAATACAATGACAATACAATCGATAATAATAATAATACTAGAGTTAAATTGGATCCGTTTGTCTGGATCAGTTTGACATTGAATGGCCTATTGATAATTATAATTATCGTATTGGTGCACAGGTAGGTGATGGTGGGGGTGGGTGTGTGTGTGTGGGTGATCACCTAGTTAAAATAATATTAATATTTTTTTATCTTATATATTTATATAGATCACGTGCCAGATACAATAGTCTAGCTAATAATATATTGAAATCGCATATGACTAATATTAATAAATATGAATGTATGGTAAACGATGATGATGATGATGTCGATAATGGCAATGCTAGCAATGCTAATAATGCTAATAATAGAGATTCTATGACTGTCAATACAATCAACTATAGTAGCAATAATAATAATAATAATAATATTAATAATTTTAATGATGATATCAATGGTGATGATAATAATCATTATCATAATCAGTACAATAATGATACTAATGTTTTACTACATATTTAGTTTAATTGTGAAAAAAATTATATATAAATTTATAATATTTTTAAAAAAATATATTAAAAATTTATATATAAAATAAAACATTAATATTCTGTTTTATTTTAATGCTTACTAATTATATAAAAATAATAATTAATTAAAAATAATATTTGTAAATAAATTATTCAGAAACTATCATAATTCAAATTTTTTTTTTTAAATGTAACAATTTATTAAAAGCATAATATTTTTATCAAATAAGTTATAACTTATTATAATATAAAATTAGTGATTTAAAAGTTAAAAAATAATTTAATTAAAAGATTCCTGTTAATTTAGTTATTATTATTTTTAAATAAAAAATTATTATTATAAAATAATTAAACTTTAAAAGACATTTATGATAAAAAAGTTTTAGCAAGCTAGTTTAATATTCTAAACGTAATATATGTATTTAATCACTTTGGTACTATTTATAACATGTTACTCATACAATATTAATGTATGTAAAAGACCAAAATCAGTGCATTACATTAAATTTTTAAATTGACAAGTTACAAATCACTATTTATTTACACACATACACATACACATACACATACACATCACATCACATACACATACACATACACATACACATACACATACACATACACATACACATACACATACACATACACATACATACACATACACATACACATACACATACACATACACATACACATACACATACACATACACATACACATACACATACACATACACATACACATACACATACACATACACATACACATACACATACACATACACATACACATACACATACACATACACATACACATACACATACACATACACATACACATACACATACACATACACATACACATACACATACACATACACATACACATACACATACACATACACATACACATACACATACACATACACATACCACACACTATGCTGTAAAGTAAACGTCACTCTCATAAAAACATATGTGTAATGCTATACACACTGTGTATTACATACACATACATACAGTAGTTAGCAGTTTATAAAGTATAGTCATCGCCGGTATTCACACACACATCCCGAGGCCAACACCCAATCCAAACGAGACAAACACTGCCGACTAGTGGACTATTAGACTAAAGTGGACAATGAAAGCCCTAATACTAGTGGGCGGTTACGGTACTAGACTGCGACCGTTAACACTATCGCAGCCCAAACCGTTGGTCGACTTTTGCAACAAACCGATGATTTGCCATCAAATCGAGGCTCTCGTTGAGGTCAGTTGGTTGGTGTGTGTGTTGGTGTGGTCACCGACGGGGACTGCGGCCGTGACGACCCCAACTCCCGTCGGGACAAACCTTTTTATAATAAAAATAATAATCGTCGGGTGATTATAATAATTGTGACATTAATTTTTGTTATTGTTTTTTTCGGCTAATTCTAGGCAAACGTCAAACACGTTATACTAGCGGTCAGCTATCGCGCAGAACTGTTGGAACGGGAGATCAAGGCCTGGGAACAAAAAGTAAGTACTTTTTTATTTGCCGCCCGACTGACTGTCCCGATAGACATCTCATTACTGAAACTGATTGTAATGTCTCTCTCTCTCTCTCTCTTTCTCTCTCTCTCTCTATGTTTGTCTTTGTGACCGATCGGCCGACCGATTAGATGGACATCAAGATTACGATATCGCACGAAGAGTATCCGTTAGGTACGGCCGGACCGCTTGCGCTGGCCCGCGACCAGTTGACCGCAGACGGCGAACCGTTTTTTGTACTAAACAGCGACATTATCTGTGATTTCCCGTTCAAACAGATGATCGACTTTCATCGGTCGCACGGCCGACAGGGAACTATTGTTGTAAGTGTTATCGGCTGATTGTTTGCGTGGTTTTCGGTCACTGATTGTGTATTGTGTTGTTTTTTTCAGGTGACCCGTGTCGAGGAACCGTCCAAATACGGTGTCGTCGTCTACGACAATCAGAGCGGCCAAATCGATCGTTTTGTCGAAAAGCCGACCGAATTTGTGTCCAACAAAATCAATGCCGGAATGTATTTGTTTGAGACATCAGTTTTGGACCGAATAGAAGTAATAATTAGCCGAAACCTTTCACTCACTCACTGACCGTTTTTTTTTGTTTGTTAATTGTTTCTATAGTTGAGGCCGACATCTATCGAAACGGAAGTGTTTCCCGCAATGGCCAGCGACCACAATCTCTATGCTCTGGATTTGCAAGGCTTCTGGATGGACGTCGGCCAACCCAAAGACTATCTGACCGGACAGTCGCTGTATTTGACTTCGTTGCGTCAAAAGCAGCAAAAACAGGAACAACTATATCAGGGTAAAGGTATTGTCGGCAATGTGTTGGTCGATCCGACCGCCAAAATTGGCAAACAATGTCGTATCGGACCCAATGTAACCATTGGTCCGAATGTGGTGGTCGAGGATGGCGTCTGTATGAAAAGGTGTACCATTTTGGGCGACACTATTGTCAAGTCTCACTCGTGGCTCGATTCGTGTATTGTCGGCTGGAAGTGTGTAGTTGGCCAATGGGTCGGTATTATCATTATTATTTGATTAATTGTAATGTGTTTATACTGTATACTAATTATTGTCGTGTCGTCGGGTGTGCATCGGTAGGTTCGTATGGAAAACGTTACCGTTTTGGGCGAAGACGTTGTAGTCAAGGATGAGCTCTATCTGAACGGTGCGAAAGTATTGCCCCATAAAGTGATCTCACAATCGGTTGCCGATCCCAACATTATTATGTAAAATGTTACTGTTTTTTTGTATTTACCGGTAGAGCTCCGGGAGATTATTTAATACAACAGTTTCCTCAACAACAAAAAACTACTTTCCTCTACCCCCACCCCCACCCCCACAGTCTTGATTATAATATTGTTATATTTTGTTTATATTTACAATACAGTAATTACCGGTAATATCAAGGCTAACAAATATTGTATACATTTTTAAAAAAAAAATACTATAATCAAGTATAATATTTTTATTATTTTTTAAAAAATATTTATTATTATTTTTATATATATATTAATAATTATAATTATTTAATAATTTATTTTTATTGTTTGCGAGGGGGGGGGGTAAAAATATTCCATAATATTTTGCATAGATTTTACATAGAAATATGAATTTTTATTTTTTTATAATGCCATAGATTTTTTATTATTACCTCAATTATTACAAATATTTATATATATATATATATAAAATTATTGATAATTATTTTTTACTGTAGAAAAATTATATATTAATATATATACTGTAAATTAATATGCATTTATAATACTGTATATATATATATATTTATAAATATCTAGAAGACCTATATATATTACCAAATTTTTTTATATATAATAGTAGAAAAAACAATTATCAATGAAATTATAATTTATTGATAATTGTTGAAATTTTTTTTTTATAATCAATGGATTTTATATATGATATATTAAATATATAATTAATTTAAGCAGTAATTACTGTAAATTTAAATTAATGATATAAAAATAATGTTATCAAAAATTATAATAATAATAATAACAAAAATCGTTTCGCAAAAAAATATTTAGTCAAAAAAATAAATAAATAATTCAAATTTAAAAAAATCAATCAATTATTATAATTCAATTGTTATTACCGTAAAAAAAATCAATTCAATTCAATTACCATATTTTCATTGGAAAGCTTATTACTACTGTATAATAATAGTGTAGTAGGGAAGTAATGGTATGTAATGTAGAGGACAGTTAGGTAGTGGTGGAGTAGGAATGGTCACTATCACTACTACTACTACTGACTACTACGGGCGGATGTCCGACGCCTGCGTCCGACAACAACAAGATCTGGTGGCTTAAAATCGTAGATACCGTGAGCTTTGCGCCGATGATGACGCAAATAGACAGGACTGGGAAATTTTTTGAGACAATCGCTTAGATCGCACTGGTAGTCAATACCCAAATGCAGGTGCCGATGATCATCGAGATGATGCCGGTGTATGAAACGTTTGCCACAGTCGGGCCAATCGCACGGAAACTGGCCGACACGGCCCCTGTCAGCCCTGAGCGTTGATCGTCGATCAGTCGGCGGCGGCGATGCTGATGACGACGTCCCCCCATTATTGGCACTCAATTGCAACCGTATCTTAAGCTCCGGCCTATTACTACTACTGCTGGCAGCGGCGGCTGCGACGGCGGCAGCAGCTATAGAAGCGGCCAAAATGTTTTGTTTGGTCGAACCCCGAGGTCGTCCTCTTTTTCTTTTAATTTCTGAAGGAACAACATCATCCTCAGTACCACTGGTGGTGGTGATAGGTATGTGTTCCTCAATGTTGTTGTTATCATTGTTATTGTGGTAGTTGTCGTCGTTGTTGTTGTCTGTTTGGTTTGTTGTACCGAATATCTGACCAATATTTACGTCACTAAAACTATTACTATCGTTATCGTTGTTGTTGTTGTTATGGTTATTATTTGTGCATTTTGTTGGCCGACGGCCGCCGCCGCCGCCACCAACTCTAGTATTGTTGGTATCGTTGACCGCTTGTTGTTGATGTTGTTTAACAGTCGATGAATGTCCTGAATGTTTTTTACCATCTCTAACCACCCGACTATCATCATCATCAACATCATCATCATCTGTACCAATGTTTGATGGATTAAGAATCCTATCGCGTTTTAGTGACCACTTTTGTCTTTCGTACTGTCGATGATAGCGGCGCCGATGTATACGCAAATACACTGGACTGGGAAATGTTTTACCGCAACCGTTGTCGCCATCGCACTGATAGGTAATACCCAGATGCAGATGTCGGTGATCGTCCAAATGTTGTTTATGTTTGAATCGTTTGCCACAGTCGGGCCAATCGCACAAATTGCTACCAACGCTACTACTAATACTATCGTCACCACCACCACCCCCGCTACCATTACCACTACCACCACCACCAATACCATCACCAATACCGTCATCATCACCCATAAAGAACCTGTTGTTGTTATTATTATTGTTCCAGTAGTCGTTGACTATCTTTTCGGGCGTTAAGTGTTTGCTGTGGCCCGACTGGCCAGCACTGGTAGCTGTTTTTCTTTTAGCCTTAAGATAATTAGGTTTGCGGCCGGGTCTACGTTTTGTTGTGACCACTACTAGTTTGTTGTTGTTGTCATTGTCCGAGTTATGTTGTCTAGTATTATCGTTATGGGCGCTATTAGTGGTCGTCCTCATAGAAGTGTAGTCAAATGTGCTGCGGCTGCTGCCACCGCCGCCGCCACCACCAACAGCCCTGTTAGTAGTATTAGTAGTTGTTGTTTTAGAGGCCACCGACTGGTGTTTGACCAGCAAATGTCTGGACAGTTGGTCTCTGGTCTGGAAAATACGATGACATTCGTTGCAAACGTATGAATGGGAATCGATGTGTACAGTAGTCATATGGTTGTCCAATTGGTCGACCGTTTGAAATAGTTTACAACAAGCAGTGCATCGGTAGCTGAGAGACGATCGCAAGGGCGGCGGCAAAGCTTCTTCTACTTCATTGTCGTAGTTGTTGTAATTGACTTCAATCGGCAATATTGGCGGCTCATAGTCGTCGACGTTGTCGTAGTTGTTATCATCGATAAACTGGTGGCCATTTTCGGCGATTATCACATCAGCCGCCGCCGCTGCGGCCGTCGATACTTCTTGTTTGACGTGAACTATACGCGTGAAGAAAAAAAATAAGTCTATTATTTAGCAACTGATCTCTACTTCTGAAGTAGTTTCTTGAGACTTACGGGTCGACCGATGTCCGCCACCACCACCGCCGCCGACTGCGGCAGCACTATAGCCGCTATTAGTTAACACATTGTCAGCGTTGTCGTCGTCATCATCATTAGCGGCCACTCTCTGTGTGGCCAACAGTGTCCTAAATTCGTCGTTTGATTTCATAATATTTGCATAGAGTTGCCGACTGCTTGACTTTGGCTGCCGATGACAGCGACAATCGCGGATCAAAACAATAGCATCTTTGCGTATGTCATCCAATATCGAGTTCAATAGCCGAGCAAACGACAGATCGTCGGCCAGCCGTTGATTGTCTTCGTATAGTTCGTCCAATAGGTTGCTAATCATTAGTGATTCATCGGCCGATTCATTGGCCGCCGATGATTGGTCTTTAACGGCCGACAATTTGTTGGTCACTTTGGTTGTGGCCGCCGACATGTTGTTGTATTCGGGCGGACACTATCTTTTTGATCGATGTGTGTCCTCGCGATGTCAATAACAGGACTTCGGTCGCGGCGGTGATTATTATATCATTTATATATGATATATATAATAATCAGTGATTATTATGACTGTAATAAACACTACTTTTTTTGTTTGTTTTGTTCAATTGATTTCAATGACATTAAAAAAACATTACACAAGTGTTTACATAATATTTGTTATTATTATTATTATTATTATTATTATTATTATTATTGTAAAAACATTACAATTGTTTTCATTATTATTATTATTAGTATTTTTTTAGATTTTTTGTTTGTTTGTTATGTGAGAGTTGAATGTACAGTAAGTGTTAGTTACAAACAAACAAACGTATAGTTTATATGATAATAATAATAATTTTAAATTATTAAACGTTTTTTTTATGGGAGATATTAATGAAAAATACTGTACATATAGTTATACTGTATTTTTTTATTTTTATTGTTAATAAAATTATTATTATTATAAAAAAAAACTATAACTCACGTATATATTTGTGTAAACGTGTTATGTATTATACATATTGTATTATAATACAGTATTGGACTTTATATATATATTTTTACGTCAACGTCATCTATTGGTGAATGCGTATTAATTTTTAATTTTTTTTTAAATTAAAAATTATAAAAATGTACATAGTAAATGTAAAATATTAAAATATACGTACGTGTATTTATATGTGTAAATATTAATCAATTTTTTTAAAAAAAATTAATTAATTAAATTAGTAATTCTAATTAATTTTTTTAAATAAAAATAAATATTACGCTAAATATTTAAATTTATTAAATTATTTAGGAATAATTAATATTTTTTATTTTTTTTAATTACTTAATTAAATTTAAATATTTATTTTTAAAAAACCACAATTAATTAGTATAAAAAAAATTATCGTTGTTTGTATTATATATTTTAAGTTAAAAATAATATTATTAGCTTACCCATATGTTTTTTAATATATTAAATTAAATTATATATACAAAATAAATTTAGCAAGCTATATGCAATTTAATTTACTTGTAATTAAACTGTATTACTATTTTAGTTTTATTATTAATTAAATTAGTAATAAAAAAATTTATTTTAGCAACTTTTAATAATTTTAAATAACAAATTATCATTATCATCATTATTATTATAGCTATTATTATTATTATTATTATTATTATCATTATCATTATAAATTATAAAAATAAATCAAACACATATGCTTTATATTTGTTATTTTTTAACTTTGTATATATATATATACTGTATATACAAAAAAAAGTTATTATAAAATTTATTGCAATATTATATCTAAAATAATAAATAAACTGATGAATCATTTAAAAAAATAAAATAATATATTTATTATAAAATTTTCTATTATACACAGTAATAATTGTATAATATTATCATTTTAACAAATTTTGCTTATAATTTAATATAATATTATTTTAGTTTTAAAATTAATTAATTTTTTAATAATATATAATTTCTTTTATTACTATTATTGATATTTTTCGGCTATTTTTATAGTCAACAAAAAATATCTTAAATAGCGTATTGTAATCTGTATAAAGATATAGTTGAAATTTATTTTATTTAAAAAACAAAAAAAAATTTGTTATTTTAGTTATTTTTTGAAATTATTAAATGATTATAACACAACATACCTGTGCTAGAAAGGGAAACGTCATAACAAATAGCTTACCAATAGAGAAGCCATACATTGATTGAAGCCGTTTACTTGAAAACGTTATCTCAATTAATGTCAACAATTTTAGCTTAAGTTTGACACCGACACCACTATTGGTGGACAACAATATTGTTGTCTGACAGCCGTAGAGCTGTCCGGGCGATAGTCGGACCCGTTTGGCCACTAGTGAGGCATAAAACGATTGGACAAAAACATATATCCAAATATATAGGCTACCCGTTGAGCACAGGGTCCACTCTATCCAATTGAGTCGTTGCCATTCAAACAGTATAACGTAGGTCAGGGCCAGATTCAGGGGCATCAGTGTAACCATTAGATACAGATAGTAGTGTTGCCAAAATTGATTGAATCGTTTGATTTGGCCAAGCACAGTTACCTGTTCCTGGATTATCCAGTACAATTTATTGTTGGAAAATATAGAAATTTTCAATTTATTATTATTATTATTATCATGATGATTGTTTTTATTTTTATTATTGGTATTTTTGGACCAATTAGCTAGCAGATTTTTCAAAATAGTATCCAGGCACTCGGAACGCCAAATAAAATATAGACAAATTAGATGAAAAAATGAGCTAGCTAAACAAATATCATGTGCTGTAATTGATACACTTAGTGTGAACAAGGATATAAATGTGATGGCTAAAATTAATTGTGACCATGTATAGAATTTCAATATCATTATCACCATGGACAAATAGAATAAAATATCTAGATATAAATAATTTATTATTATTATTTTATTAGTATAAACAATTTATCATCATCATACAGTATATGTTATTAATACTATGAAGATAAATTGTTTTTTTATCTAGCTAAATATTTAATTTATTATTTACAAACTATCAAATATATACAGTTTATTTATGTATAATTTATAGTGATAGTTTGTAATTAAAAATAAACTTAAAATAAAATAGTTTAGTCTAGAAATAACAAAATAATAATCTAACAAATATAATACAGTTAGTATTATATAGTTACCAATTGAATAGATAGACCAGTTGACTAGTTTATAGACTAACCGAGCTCTATGTCTAAGCCGATGGACAACAATTAGACTATCGGTGCTTTGGATGGCCAGCGCTTGCAATCTATGAACTGTTATATTGGTATCGGTAGTCAATTGGATCAATTGATGCCAACTATAGTTAAGTTGTTTATCACTGTCCCGCCTAGTTGTCGGCATATGAAACAATCGGTGCATACCGTAGCCCAACATCATTGTCTGGAAATTAGTAAATTGAATGAATCGATGGCCAATAAGCATAGATATGTCAAATAGGATCAGCCGGTGCTCAGCAGTGTTGATAATATTTGTCATAAACAATAACTGTTTGATTATGTTAAACAAATGACACAATAATATTAATTGTGATTTAAATAGTTGTGATTGACTTTGATTGCCAGTAATTTTTTTGATATACTGTTTAATCATAATTATATAATATATATAGTGTATTATTAATAGTGATTTTTTTGTTGTTGAAAAATATTTATATATTTAAAAAAAAGTAAAATTATTTACATATTCAATATATATATAAATTAATTTTTTATTATTAATATAGTATTTATTTTTTTAAACAATAATAAAACCTAATAAATACAATATTAAACATCAAACAACAACAATATTGATTGCTATAGTAATTAATTAATAAAACATTAGTTAATTATAATTATGTCTACATTTTATATATTATTTATAGTATATATTTTTAATGATAAACCATAATTAAAAAAATACGATTTATTATTTTTTTTAAAAATAGATTGAATGTCCTCTAGTATTGTAAATCAAGTAAATTATATTTTATTTTTCGATGCTTTATATTGTATGTAATAAATATTAAATTTTAGTAAATAAATATTACACAAATAAGTACAAGTATTTGTTTAAAAACATTTTTATTTAACATTTAGTATATTGTATAGCATTAAAAAAAATTAATTAAAACAATAGCTAATAATAAAATAAATATATAAATTTCAAGTTTAAGTTACGAAATAAAAAAAACTTAATTAATTATTTTTATTTTTCATATATTATTAGTACACAAATAATTTTTTTTATTATTTTTATTTGTCATATATTATTAGTACACAAATAATTTTTTTTATTTTTTTTATTTGTCATATATTATTAGTACACAAATAAATATTTAATTATACAATAATATTAGATATTATTATATTTTTTAAACATATATTGATATTAATATTAAAAAAAATAATTTATTATTTAGTTTTTTATAATTACAATCAAATATTATAGTCTAATTATTATTATTATTATTATTATTATTATTGATATTTTTTTGCTAAATTGATAGTCAATAAAAAATACCGTAAATAACGTATTGTTATCTATAAATATAGATTGAAAAAAAAATTGATAAATATTTTTTTTAATTAAAATTATTGTAATAAAAATAAATAAATATGTATTTTTTTAAAAATGCATACCTGTGCCAAAAATGGGAATGTCATAACAACCAGTGAGCCTATAGAAAACCCGTACACACAACGAGTTTGTAGTCTAACCGTTTGACTAACCGTTTCAATTAGTGTCAACAGTTTTAGCTTAAGTTTGGCGCCGCCGACACCACTACTATTGGTCAACAATATTGTCTGACAGCCGTAGAGCTGGCCGGGCGTTAGTCGGGCACGTTTGGCCACTAGTGAGGCATAAAACGATTGTAGGAAAACAAATATCCATATATACAGGATACCCAATGTACACAGTGGCCAAGTTATCCAATTTAGTCGATCACCATCAAACACAACAACATAGGTTAGGGCCAGATTCAGGGGCATCAATGTAACTGTTAGATACAGATAGTAATGTTGCCAAAATTGATTGCACCTGCCTAACTGTTCAAGCAATTGACCCTGATTATGTAGTATCCAGTACAATTTATTGTATGCAAAAATTAGTCTAAAAATTTTGCGCCTATTATTATTATTATTATTATGGTTGCCATTGTTAGTTAGTTTTCTAAAATTAACAAGCAGATTTTTTAATTGATAGCCCTGACATTGGGAACGCCATATGAAATAGCAGCAAATTAGATGAAAAAATGAGCTTGGTATACATAGATCACGTGCAGCAATATAGATACTTATTGTAAACAATAGCATGGATGGTATAGCTAGTATAAATTGTTTGAATGTATAAACTTTGAATATAATAACCACCAGTGAAAGATTGAATAAAATATCTAGGTTATATATATTTAAAAAAAAATTAAATTATTATTATTAATTATAAATTAGACATCATCATCATATAATTTTTCTAGATAAAACTTTTAAAAAATTATTTTTTTTTATTA